GATGGATTTTATTATAAATATTTTGACGAGAATGAAGGTGGAAAAGAAAAAGAGGGGCCGCCTACGAGTTATGATTGGGAGAAAGCTAGAAAATTTGCCAAGTTTCTAAGAACCTTTTATGATGTCACATTGAAGTTTAGTGCTTCATTGAATTTTACTTCCAATATTTACTTCCAAGAAGTGTGTAAAATTGAGCAAATTTTGAAAAAAATGGGTGACAAACAAAATTATTTGCTAAGTAGCATAGCAAACAACATGAAGATTAAGTTTGACAAGTATTGGGGTAATGTTGATAAAATGAACAAGATTTTGATTGTAGCAGTTGTGCTTGATCCTCGTTATAAGTTGGAGTTTGTTGTACATTGTATTGGTATCTTGTATGACTATGTTAAGGTTGAAGCCACAAAAACTGAGGTCATGAAAATATTGTATGCTTTGTATAACCAGTACAAGGGATGTCATCGTTCAAAGAATGGGGCTAGTGGAAGTGGAAGTGGTGGCAATGAATATAATGATGGAGTCACTTTGTTGGAGGGTTCAGATGATGATGATGATTGGGATGATTGTAATTTTGATTTTGGGTACAAGAAAATGAAAACTAGCAAAATGGATTTTTCTGGAAAAGATGATGTACAATGATATCTAATGGAACCTACTGAAGATGCTACTGATGAAAACTTTAACATTTTTAAAATGGTGGAAGATCAACAGTTCAAGGTTTGAATTTTTATCTAAAGTTGCAAGGGATGTTCTTGCCATTCCTGTATCTACGGTGGCTTCTGAGTCAGCATTTAGTACTGGAGGGCGCATTCTTGAGCCATTTAGGAGTTCTTTAACTCCTAAAACAGTTGAGGCCTTGATTTGTACACAAAACTGGTTAATGGAAGAATCTAGACTTTTGAGAGTTTCCGAAAATAGAATTTGCATTGAAGAGACAGAGTTCTATGAGAGCATTGAGACAGGTAATAAAATATATGTTTTATTTTTCTTATTAAATCTTATTAGTTGAACAATTTTTAGTTCATTTATATTTGTTAATCGTGTTTTTTCGATTTTTCTGTAGAGTTTCTTCGTATGGCAACTCAAGAAATTGATGATTAATCAAATAGTTGGTAAGTATTAGTAATATTTAAAAATATTTTATTTCTATGACTTCTAATTCATATTCAATTGTTTTATGTAGACTTGATTTTGAAGGCTTGAAGGTTGAAGCAAAGGAATTATTGATATGAATTGCCGATATTTTAATACTAGTATTTACTTTTTGATATATGTATACATTGGTAAATTAATGTCACTGGACAACATGTTACTTATATGTTTTTAATGGGACTTTGTTAATTTGTAAAAGCTATGGCTCAACATATTATTAGTTGTATTTATGTTGTGTTGTAAATGTTAAAAAAATATAATTATGGTACGGAACCGAACAGAACCGAACCGAACCGAATGGAACCGAACCCGAACTGTTCCATAATTAAATTTGGACCCGACGGTTCCAATTACTAAGTACCCAAAAATTTTTGGTCAGGTTCGATTCTTAAGGAAACCGAACCGAACCGGACGATCTCCAGCCCTACTGGCCATCATCGCTTCTTCCTTCACTGCCAGATCTTTATTTCGATAATCCTTTATTTCTTGGCATCGCCATCAAGCTCGGCTCCAAAGTAAAAGCTACTTGATTTCCCATCGATTTTTGGAAATCGAAACAAATATGTGTCTGTTTTTTGAAATCGAAGTATTTGCTAGTTTGAAACGGTAAATATGTTTTTGTCTTTGAAATCGAAGGCTACTTGTTGCGTGGTTTAAGAAAAACTTTGCAAGGCAATTATACCACTGATCCCATTTCCGTCACTTCTCTTACTCTCAACCGCAAAGCCATTTCTGATGTAATTCCTTTTTCTGTACATTTTGATTTTTTCACTTTTGCTTGTTTAAATTTCTCATCGATTTTTTTTTTTTTTTTTTTTTTTAACAGGTTTCGTGCTTGAGTGAGTTCAAGAATTTGGAAAGGCTAGATCTTAGTTTCAACAATTTAACTTCACTTGAGCTAGTAATACTTAAACGTATTTTTGTGTGAAGCTCTGTATAGGTAGTATTTTGGGGGGGGGGGGGGGGGGGGGAACCATTTGATGTATCC